ATCCATCCATCCATCCATCCATCCATCCATCCATCCATCCATCCATCTATCCATCCATCCATCCATCATCTTCCTCTTTTTCTGGAGTCAGGTCTCAGGGGCATCAGCTTGAGCAGGGAGGTCCAGACATCTGTCTCCACAGCCACCTCTTCCAGCTCTTCTGGGAGGACCAAAGGCATTCTCAGGCCAACCAAGAGACATGCCCAAACCACCTCAACTGGCTCCTCTGGATGTGGAGGAGCAGTGGTTCTACTCAGAGTCTCTCCTGGATTAATGAACTTGTCACCCTGTCTCTAAGGGAGAGTCCAGCTACCCTGCAGAGGAAACTAATTTCAACCCTCTTTATCTACGATCTCATTCTTTCAGTCACTACCCAGACTTCATGACCATAGGTGAGGGTAGGAACGTAGACTGACTGATAAACAGAGAGCTTTGCCTTACATCTCAGCTCCTTCTTCACCACAACGAACCGGCACAGAGTCCACAACACTGCAGACACTGCACTGTCTGGCAAACTGAAAGTTGTAATTTTAGGATTACTGAGCATGAACTTTGGTGTTTTGAACCACTTTTGCATGGCTGGCTTAGAGGAGATGATGGGGGAGAGGGTGGGTCCTGGAGGCCATCTTATCACCAGCAAACTGCTTTTTCCCACTCTGGGAGTGAGCTGTTTGTGGGATTCAGTTTGGATTGGTGGGCTTCTCAGATTGAAGAAGTCCTTTGGATGAAGGACGAAACGTTTCAGCAACAAAAGAAACTGTCCAGATGACCTGACTGAACATTGTTGGATTCATACCTGGATTAATGAACTTTTGTGTAATTTTAGGTAATTTTATGCTATGCAAAAGTCTTCCTGTGCTGTAATTTATTAACATATATCTGACAACCCCTCAAGTGAAAACATTGAAATGACTTGAAAGCAAACTAGAAAAAAGTTGTTCAAACTCTTCTCATGTTTGTCTTGATGGTGCTGGTTAAAGTCTTCTAACACATGAACATGCCATTAGTGAACAGTCTACTGTAATTTGCCTAAGTTTGTGTACAAAGTATATTATTTTTACACAAAACCTTCTGGGAAGTGACCTGTGTTCAGAAATAATTTTAAGTTGTATGGTACTTTTGTGGAGGGGGAAGTGAATTGCTTAGCTCCACCTAAACTCTAGGTATAGAAAAACAAATCAGCCCAAATATATTTTGTGTTTTAATTTCTGTTACTGAACTGTGACTTGTGCATACTGCTCCACTTCTACCTTACATATATTAATATATTTATATATATATGAAGTTAAAACACTTAATACATTGCTGGGTCCTGTAACAGTTTTACTAGGGTTCTTGCCTGAGTAAGAGGTGGTATTCCTGGTTCCAATGAGTTCTAATGTTGATGTTATAGGTCATTGATTTGTGCAGAAAACTGACTGCTGTCCTCCTCAGTCATCTCAATAAAATTCTCCCTCTCTTCCTGCAGTATAAACGACAGAATAAGGACTATGAAAAGACCAGGACAAGGATAATGGAAATTGCCAATTATGTGGATAAGGTACGGCTGATGGACTACCCTGCTGCTGTCTGCTATTATCCAAACACCTTCATCTGATAAGTTAATAGATTTTGTTCCACCATCCTGAGTTTCACTGTCACCTGGGACTAATATACTTTACCTTTTATCTTTTTTATTATGTCTGTGTCATATGTAACTGCAAAATGAGAACAAATATTTGGGGGCTTATGTGGTCTTGTCACGGTTTAATCAGTACTGTGTTTTCCAGTGTATAAGTCACTTTTTTTGCATAGATTTGTCAGTCCGGCGACTTGTACGCTGAAGCAACTTATATACGTTTTTTTTTTCCATATTCATAATGCAATTTTTGACTGACTCTTTAAATTTCTAAGAACTGCAACAGTGAGTCCTCCCATGCGCACTCGCTTTACTCAGCTGGTGCAGACGGAGGAAGGCTGGAGAGCTAGCGGCTCCAGCTACGATGGATGTTTGGATGAAGCAGCCCTGGGCAAAATTAAGCTGTTTTGACCATTAAATAATAATAATAAATGTGACGGGTCAGCAGTGATGCATAATAAATGTGATTTATATGCCGAAGCGACTTATTTATGTTTTTTCCTCTTCATGATGCTTTTTTTTGACTGATGAGACTTATACTTCGGAAAATACGGTCGTGTCTCTCAGCCTTTTAAGGGAGATCAAGGAGAAAATTCTTGTGTGATCAGTCTGTAGGAGCTGAAGACAAGACTGTGAACTAACCTGTGATTGTTTTTCTCTGTCTCCATTTAGTTCTACAGGACTTTGAACATCCGTGTGCCTCTGATTGGTCTTGAGATTTGGACTGACAGAGATCATTGCATCATCACCGAAGAGCCAAATGCCACTCTGTGGTCTTTCCTTCAGTGGAGACAAAAACTGAAATCTCGGAAAAAACATGACAACGCTCAGCTACTCACGTAAGAAGCACACAATTTATAAATGCTCGGTCAACTGGTAATTCTAAATTGCCCCTAGGTGTGAGTGAGGGTGTTAATGGTTGTTCGTAATGTCAATCACAGTGTATGCACACAGTGTTGCAAATGCCATGTTCCACTCAAATGCTGGATGTGTTAAAATAAACGTCGTGTGAACGTGTGTGTATAGACGCAAAATCTTGACCTGACATGAGAATGTGTGTACGGTCATTCAAATGTTTTCAGTCGACAAAATGAAAATACAAAGTACTAAAATTGACCTGAATACACCAGAATACCTTTCCATTCTTTATAGGAGGAAAAACTTACAAAATTGGCAGTGAATTGAGTACTTATTTTGCCCACTGTGTGTATATATATATATATATATATATATATATATATATATTTTATTTTTAATATATATATCCATCCATCCATTTTTTTTACCCGCTTATTCCATTTTGGGTCACGGGGGTTGCTGGTGCCCATGTCCAGCAATCACTGTGCGAGGGGCGGGGTACACCCTGGACGGGTCGCAAGTCCATCACAGGGACACATAGAGACAAACGAGACAAACAACCATTCAGTGTCTCACTCACACCTAGGGACAATTTAGAGTTACCAATCAGCCTAACATGCATGTTTTTGGTCTGTGGGAGGAAACCGGAGTACCAGGAGGAAACCCACGCATGTACGGAGAGAACATGCAAACTCCACCCAGAAAGGCCCCTGGACCGGGGTTTGAACCAAGGACCTGCTCGCTGAGAGGCAGCAGCTCTACCAGTTGCGCCACCGTGCTGCCCCCTCAGACAATCAAAAAACAAAATATAAAAAAACATACCTCTGTTCTTCTCCACGGTGTAACTCCTACTCACTTCAATATCTTGCACCAAAAACATTTATGTTTACTTACATTCTCTATTCAGTTCCAGACCAGAAAAACACTCGACTCCAAAACTACAAACATTCACTATTCACATCCCTCAGAGACGGATAACTGAAGTACCTCTCGTTCTCTTGGGTCAAGTTCAGGTTAAACATGAGCCTTCGTACCTCCATTGTGGACAATTAAAACTGAAGCTGTTCCTGCAGAGACTGTTTGAATTAACTGCATGTGACACACTGCGTGTTTCACTTTTTATAGGTTTAAACTTAATTTTTCTGGAGAATTAAAGGCATCCATGAGTGGGTTCTCTGGAACAGCTGTATGCATAATTAAGTATTTATTTATTGAAGAGGTGATGCCATGGTATGTCAGTGTTGTTTACACAACCTTTTTCTGCTGCTCTGAACGCAACCAAAAAACTGACAGCAGGCTTTAGCTCTGAAAATTATATCCTGCTTATTTCTTTCCACATAAACCATTTAACTGTATATTTGTTAACATCTGACATCCTGTGCAGTTTACAGCCACCTTCACAAGTCTCCAGTCTGTAGTAGATCACTGGAATAGTGTTAAACCCTCAACGGAGCTGTGCACAGTGACTCTCTGCAGACAGGAAGGATGCCTTAAAGAGCAGCTTCACAGAGTCGCAGAGGTTCAGTTTCTACTGGGAACCATTAGGTGCAAAGTTAGTCTGGCCTTGTGCACTTTGATCAGCACAAAGATGTACAACTAGATATTATATGGTAAAATTAAGAAATGCGGCTGCTGCTCAAAATTCAACTCAAGTGTAATAATTTATGCTGAAAATGTATATAGTTTGATGTGTAAATTATAAAATGTGCACTGTAATTTCTGAACTATTGAGCGTACCTATTAAGCCACGCCCACTAAATTAAAAAATATATCTTTTTTTTTACCTATATAAGACACACGTGTCGATAAACTATGGGTGTCCACGTTGTAACATGAAATATTTAAACAGAAAGATTTTTTTTAACTTTTAATTAGATAGTACTGTTAACATACACAAATATATATACAGTGGGTTTTTTTTTTTGTGTGTGTTTGTTTATTTGTTTTTTTTCTGAACGTGTCTTTAACACAGCTGGTTAAAAAATACAGAAGTGTACCAGGAAGTCATTGATCGCCATCTTCATCTTCCTCCTGCGCACAATAATGCACAGTTCACACTTATTTCAAGTTGCTGCAAATACTTGGTTGTACCACCTCTGCCTGTTGCCGGCACAATGGGGAGGGGAGAAGATACAGGGTGGAGAGAACGAGATTTCATAAGTCCACTCCCCAGTGGACTTATGAAACTAAGTTTCACTGGTCCACTGTAGAGCTGTCATTTCTAACCCAAACCTGGAGCCCGGCCCTGTCCAACCCGGATTAGGGCCAAACCAGGCCATAATAATGTGCTTAATGTGCGGGCTGGGTCGGTGTCGGGCTTATGATTGTGTCAGCAGACACACAAGGCTGACGATCCAATTACATGGCAACATGGTTTGCCATAGAATCACCAGCCGCACGCGGCCATTTGACTGCGCGCTGACTGGCCTTGAAAGAGGTAAAAAGTTCAATTAAGCTTCAGATGGACTACTGCCAGGCAGCGATCCATCACCCAAATGAACGTTGATTCCCTTTTCTGCTTCCTATACTTTTCATTCTGCTCCTTGTGTCCTTCTGTTTCTGTTTTCTGTCACTCTCACTGACTCCTCAGTCTGCCTCTCCAGTCTTGATCATTCTCATCTGTCCCTAATCGGCTACCTGCCCAGGTGCACTCATCACCTCTCTCCCTCAGCCTTACTTAAATCTCTCCTCTTCACTACACAAGCGTCGGGTCATTGTTCTGTTTTACACAGACATCTCAGTCGTCTGCCCGTCCTGTTTTTGTCCGTTTGGTGATCTGCTCTGTTTTGCTCGCTGTTAGCTTGAGTATGTTTTTTCTGCCTCCTCAGCCTTTTTGTTTTGATGTTTAAAATAAATTACTTTTATTTTGAAACTCCTGCCTCGCTCGCCTGCCTGCCAATGGGTCTGAAAACCAAGGATTATGATAGAATGACCAGACCCAACCCAGACCCAGCAGGAAACTCGTTCCTCACAGAGCTCCCCCCGGAGGATTATTCCAAGCTCCGCCAGGTTTTAAAGGACTATACTGACTCGTTGACTACACCATCTCCTTCTTGGGTGAGATAGGGAATTATTCAAGATTTGGCGGAGATGATCCTCCGTTTCCCCGTTTTGGCCGAGACACCAGGCATGTTTGAACTCCAACAGAGCTTGGGCAGAGAGACAAGCTCTATGTGCTCGCATCCAGACGCTTTCAGATCCACCCCTTGGTCGTCCCTGCAACCTCCCCGAGTCAAAAAGCATGGTCCCACCTACTGACTCAGCCCCATGTTGCTCAGTGGGCGTAGTGAGGAGCAGTCCGCCATCTTGCTCAGTGGGTAGCGACACTAACCCATCTGCCTGCCCTCCTCAACGCCGCAGAAAGAGAGGTCGACGTGGGACCCTAGCCCTCTCTCTGCCAGAATCAACCAGCTTTGCTCCTGAGGCCCCCAACTTAGTTCCAGGGGTTCCTCCAGCCGCAGAGCCTCTGGTCTCACTGCCTGATCCAGATCCTCTGGTCTCTTTGCCTTATCCGGCTCCCCTGGTCCCATCGCCTGATCCAGCTCTTCTGGTCTCGCCGCCCGCTCCGGCTCTTCTGGACTCGACACCTTCAGACCCCATGCCGGACTCATCGGCTGCAGAACCCGTCTCCGACTCATCAGCTGCAGAACCCGTCTCCGACTCATTGGCTGTAAAACCCTGGCCCAAGGCCCCGAAGCAGCAGAACCCTGGCCCAAGGCCCCGAAGCAGATGAACCCTGGTCTGGCCCCGAAGCAGCAGAACCCTGGTCTTGCCCCGAAGCAGCAGAACCCTGGTCTTGCCCCGAAGCAGCAGAACCCTGGTCTGGCCCCGAAGCAGCTGAACCCTGGTCTGGCCCCGAAGCAGCTGCCGACGTCCCGTCCGTCCCCGCAGACTATATGGTTATCCTTGGTGTTTTGCCACTTCAGTTTTTTTAAGTCTTGGCATTTATTGTTGAATCACATGATGTTAGGCCAATGAATGTCTGATTTCTTTGTTATCTAGCTTTGAAAATTTATAAAAACTGATATATTCATTCAAAAGCAAACTTAAAGTTGCAGTATTTAACTTTTATAAAAAATATTTTACAATAAAATTTTATATTTTATTTTAATTTGAGGTCTTGGTCTCGACTTGGTTTCGGACCCTAAAAGTCTTGGTCTTGTCTCAGTCTTGGTACACTCTGATCTTGGTCTTGACTTGGTCTCGGGTTAGATGGTCTTGAACACAACACTACTACTGACACCTGTTGTCCTCTTCAAGACATCCAGGACATGTCCAACAGCTTGTTAGCTCAGCAGCACATGAAAAAGCCTTGTTGGCTTAGTGTGTGACTCCCTGAATCTCCCTGTCAAAGCAGGATATGAGTTTCAACAAAGCCTCTGTAGACAACTTCTACATGGCATTAGATTTCTCCCCACGTTGACAAGCATCTGTCAGTTTGAGCTCTTGTTCAGTGGTCTCTTCTGCAGTGCCTGAGGAGGACACAGTAAACTGCTGCTCGTAGTGATTTCTGCTGGAAAGTTCAACCTCTGGTTTAAGTTCACCACATACTTCCAGTCAGGTTCTCCAACCAACTGGCCCAGATTTGCTCAAATAGTTTGTTTTCTGCTATCTTTAGCATAAAATTTATGAATAAAACCCTTTGACTTGAGGAACGACACGCATAGGGCGCAGCCTGAATCATAAGACTTGGAGCCATATCATAATTTCTTGCAGTTCAAAATTTCTTATTGTAGTCATGGAATATGGGTGCACTTTTACTGGGTAAACTGTAAAACAACAACACAAAGTAAGTTTTGCCGATACAAAATCCAAAGATGGGCACTGCCATATGCGTATGCAAAACTGGCCACTCATATCAGAATCAGACTGATATATCGTTTAAGGAAACTATGCTTTGTAGCTTTTTTTATTGCTTTCAAGTATATCACAGTCCATGCTCAATAATCCAAGTTAAAAAAAACAACAAAGTTCAGTCAGG